ATCTTCTTACAGATCTTGATTTTTACTAAAAATTTTAGTTGATATCGCTTTTCGTTTTGAGTTAGGATTTTTTTAATATTTGAAGCCCCCTTAGCCCCCATTTTGAATCAAATTTTTTTATAGAGCTTGATTTTTCCTGAAATTTTCAAAATTATATCATTTTTTGTTTTTGACTTATCGTGCGGACAAAAAAACGTGACATCGGACGGACGAACGGACAAAGTGAACCTATAATACTCTCGACAGACTACTGTGTGAAGAGTGTAACAATTACTTCCAAAGTCCTTGACACCCTCATCCGCTGCCTCAATAATAAATAGATTACTACTTGGTCTAGCAGAGAATTTTGAGAAAGAATGCGCGTTAATCTCAAAATTTTCTATGAGCGCAAGTTAAAATTTAACTTAAACCTAAAGAACAGAGTCAAAAAAGCATGTATTGCTTATAAACAATGTCACTAAACAATGGGATCTGGGGTCTCTCTCCCAAAGTCGTCATAGACTTACGCGGCCATCATCAGACTTATGCTGATATACGATGCGGATGACTGTGTACCGAAAACCCAACAATTGACAACTATCTGCAAACTAGAACAAATACAAAGAACAGCATATCTCAAAATAACAGGAGACATGAAAACCACACCAACCAAAACTGATGAAGTCATTCTTAGTCTCATTTCTTTTGATAGCTAGCTAGAGTTGTAGAGAATTATTAGGAAAATGTCTGGTAATGCTTGAAATAAACGTTTTCTTAGATCAAGTTCAATACTTTATTGTAATGACAATTCTAATAGTAAGTCGAAGTAACATATTTCCCTAAAAAGACATCATGTTACAGGATAGTCTATTACAGTGGTCGCCAACCTCTCAATGTGTTGAGCTACTTTGTTAATTTTGGAATAAACAGCGAGCTACCCACACGGAAGCCACGTAACGCAACGTAAATGAAATAATCCACAGTTAATTTATCATTATATGTATTTATTTTACTATTTAACTGGTAATACATAATACATAGGTACTAATAATAAACTAATAACAAAATAACTAATATTACTAGTACGTACTTGTTCATAGCTACATTCCTACCTACCAAACGAAGGTGTTTGAAAAATGAACACAAACTTTTATCCAGCTACAACTGCATGTCACGTAAGATTTAAAAATAGTTAATAATAACAACAAAGTAACGCACTACCATGAACATAAACATTGAAAAATAAAAAAGCACGTTCAATGAGAAGGCTGACACTCAGACTCATCGATAATTTTTTTAATGTTTGCAGTATAATTTGATACAGCCATTCGAATACAATTATCCAAATGTTCATCTGTAAGTCGATTGCGATATTTGTTAATAAACTTCATATTGGAAAAAGAAGATTTACACAAATAAGTTGAACTGAATAATGCTTTCACTTTCAAGGCAACACGGCATAGAACTGAATATTTGTCTTTACTTACAATAGGCCAGATACATTTGGTACTTGAGACTAACGATTTTAAGGCTAAATAATTTTGAAACTCAATTACTTCCATTTCTGTTGCAGCGATGTCTTCGCCAAAGTTCTGCATAACACAAGTTGCAAACTGTTGGTTATCAATTTCCACAAAGGGTGAAACAACAAACTGCGCTACTAAAGCCATTTCGTTGAAATCCTTAAAATGATTTTTGAAGTTATTCTTCAGGGTAGAAACTATTTCTACATGATATTTGCTGTCATAGGGTTCTAATGGATTTTGAGATATTTTTTCTGAAAGAATAGGAAAATTCTTGGCATCGCTGTTAATTAGGTTTTGTTCCCAAAAGTCCAGCTTTTTGATAAATGCTTTTATATCAGAAATCATTTCCGCTAGTTCTTTGTCTCTCCCCTGAAGCTGCAAATTAAGTTCGTTTAATTTCTCTGTAATGTCCACGAGAAAACCAAAATCTTTAAGCCAGATTGAATTTTCTAGTTCCGGAGTCGGTTCATCGCGTTGTTTGAAAAATTGAACTATGCCAGATAGCACATCATTAAAACGTTTCAGCACCCGTCCTCTACTTAACCATCGGACTTTAGTGAAGGAGTAGGTCCCCGTATTGACAGTCAACTTCATCGGCCAAGGTTTTGAATAATCTTCTTTGTAACGCTTGAGCTCTAATCTTGTTCACAATTTTTACCACCAGTTTCATAACGTTGTTTAGTTTCAAGAAATTTCCACATAATGCTTGCTGATTGATAATGAAGTGTTAACAGAGAATTTGCTGAAAAGTTTCATCTTTACGACATAACGCCACCAGACCCTTATCACAACTTACCATAACTGGAGCTCCATCGGTTGTCAAGCCTACCATTTTCGATATTGGAATTTTCTCGGAAGAAATAATATTTTTTAAATGAGAAAACAACTCCTATCCAGTAGTGTGTCCTTTCAGTGTAATAAACTTCAAAAGATCTTCTTTAATCGTAAAATCACTAAAAACCATCCTGACGAACACGGCCATCTGGGCAGTGTCAACGACATCTGTTGATTCATCCAGTTTAAGTGAAAAATAAACACAGTTATCTAAGTCAGTTCTTAACTGTAAAAAAATATCATTGCTCATTACTTCTACACGTCTCATCACTGTATTAGCAGAAAGTTGCATAGATTTTATAGCTGAAACTATCTCGTCTTTATTTCTAAAGTTGGCAAATAACGAATCAGCAGCTTCTAAAAACGCCTGTTTTATCATTTCCCCGTCTTCATAAGGTTTCTTTTTTTGTACAATTATCTTGGACACACGGTACGATGCTTCAGTTGCCGCCTTATTTTTGTCGACTGTTCTTAAAAATATTGATTGTTGTCCAATTAACTGCTTTTTTAACTGTTTCAGTTTCTCGTTTCTGGCGGCAGAATGTAGTGGGAATGATTTTTCAAAATTAGAATGTACAGTTTTATGATGTCTCTCAATATTTCCTTTTTTAGCAACGGAGACCGAAGTATTACATAACAAACACACATTTTTATCTTTAACTTCTGTAAAAAAGTATTGTTCTTCCCATTCCGAATGAAAGTGGTATGTCAGAACTGATTGCCATAATATTATTTTTTGTTGTTCTCTACTAACCCAACCGCTGGACGTTGGTTACGCGTTCAGTTTTAAACTAAGCGCAATGTCGCCGTGCCATGCGTATTTATCCCGTTCAAAGCAATCCTGATCGTTCTCGAACACTAACGCGCTGGTCCGGCTGGTCGGTTCTAGCCGATTCTAGCTTGATGGCGTCAGCGGCAGATCGCTCACCGCAACGTAGCCGCTGTTTATGTTTAATATTATGACAATTAGATTTTTTTGTGGAAGCTTCTCTGATTTTTGCAGTTTGTATTTTTTAAATTAAAATCGTTGTGAGAGCTACCAGAATTGCCTCCGCGAGCTACCGGTAGCTCGCGATCGACAGGTTGGCGACCACTGGTCTATTACAATACCGTCTCCTTCAGAATATCATCACTTAGGTGCATAGGAAACTTTTTTTTGTCATATAAAACTTTTTAAAAGTCTTAATTAACAAAGTTTTCTAACTCTCAATATTGGGGTAGAGTTTGTTATTATGTGTTTGGATTCATACTAATTTTTGGGCCCCTGTCATTTGTCACCTATAAGTAGGACATTTGTTTATGTACATTGTGTTTATTTGGGTAGGATTTTGTATTTATGATTTTCTAACTATTTTTTGGTAATAGTATCATTATAATAGTGTTTTTGAGTTTCATTTAGTTTTAATTTAAGTTTAGTTTCCGTTCTTTTGTCATATAATATTTATCATGTGTTAATGCATGACTAATTTGTAGGAAATCTTAAGCTATCTGAATGCTACACCAACGTCTACAAATATTTCTTTACTAAACGCAGGACATCTTTTATTATGTGGTTTAAAGGACATTTCAGCATTTCAGGTACTACTAACGTTTATTATTGATAAACTTACTACCTTACTATCCTTATTCTTGTATTATGAAGCGAATGGTGTAGTACTTTGTATACATGTAAAAGGTAATAAAAATGTTAAAATGCAAAATGCAGTTTGATCCTAGACATACAATTTTGCAAAATCCCAATATTGTGAATTTTTAGATATCCATTTGTCATAAGAAACAAAATTTTATAACTTTTATAACACCATATAGATTGAAATTTGCTGAGGGCTTTTTCGTAAATTTAATTTTTAATATAAACTCTATCACACACTATAAGAAAAAACAAAGTTAATGCTCACAAGTAAGAAAAATTTGAATTATAATTGATACAAATTAATACATAAATAGCAAACAGGAACGCCAATGTTGCCAAATGATGAACTAATTTTAAAACAAAATTATTGATAAATGAGTTGACAAAAAAATAAATGTAATAAATCTGTTTCATAAAAAACCTTAAATAAATATAGAGTATGATTACATATTGGTAGATAAAAATGTTGCTACTTAAAAAAGTATTTCTACTTCTTCAAGTTCTAAAAATCAGCGAAATTCCGCTACTCCTGGTATTACTGAAAAAGTCCTACTTATGAACCTTTTACAAATTTCCTCCAGGGGGCTTATCACTTAGCTCGAATTGCGAATAGCCATATCGCTGTTCCGGTATACAATTATAACATTTTGATTTTAACATGTCATTAGTTTCCAAATTAGTCTCTCTATACGGTATAACAACGGCGTAATTTTATATCCACTCGTGGCGGCTAGATGGTAGTTACGTCAGTTTTCAAATATTAACGTTTTCTTTTCCACTTTTGGAAAACAATGACACATGTATCAGTTGTGTCTGCAACTTTAAGGGAGACATTACTTACTACATGGTTAAATGTCGTATTTGCTATTTAGCATAAGTTCTTTGTGATTTATGTGCCCAAATTTGAAAGTAATATTATTCGTTTTTTGTATCTCCTGAAGAATTTATAATTTTGCATTTGCGTCATTGTTTTACCGGAACAGCGATATTTTGTATTCCGTTTTTAATTTATACTAATTTTCATTTTCAGATACTTGGCAATCGTGTACCCCTTACAACCTAGAATGTCAAAAACTTCATCAATTATCACTATAACTTTTATATGGACAGCGAGCATGATGCTTGCGATGCCTTGTCTTCTTTATTCCAGAACTGTGACACATCCGTAAGTATAAAAATTATATCGAAAATTTTAATAGATTCATTCAGTTCAGTAATCTGATTTCAGTTAATTTATTTTATTAAAACTGAAATAAATAGTTTTAATCAAATATCAAGCGTACCTCAAGGTTTTAACATTGATTTCTTTTTCAACATTATTTTTATCAATGTTTTCTTATGTATTCAGACAGCATAAAATGTATTTAAGAATGTAACATAGTGATTACGGTGGCTGTAAAATTACATCAGATATTGACCAGTCTAATCAAAAAAATACTAACCATTTTATTCATTATTGCAATTAGAGTTACAAACTGTTTAGTACCTACTCAAGTTATAACGGTCCAAATAAATAAAAAATGCATCTTTCATACCATGATGTAAGTTTCAATATTATTTAGTTACCTTGCCAGTGTCTGGCAGACGTTACCCCCCGCAAAAAGTATCAGGCAATTGTTGATTGGAAATTATAATGTTATCCAGTTGCATGGTATATCCAGTTGAACATATCAAAAAACCAACTTTCATACTATAGCGTTTTTGTATTTTTTGGACCTATGGATCTGTTATCAGCCGAACCCTTCCATAGTCAAGATTCAAAACATCATAACATTCTTATCTACAATAATGTACAAACACGTGACAAATCTTAACTTTCGTACTATAACGTAGGGCTGGCAGTCGTCGGCTCTTAGTCCATTATACAAGGTGAAATTTAAGTTGATTCTTTTTTAACTACGTATAGAAGTCGTTAAAATAAACATGTTTTTCAAAAAACTCAAAAATAGGAACGAAACAGAATTAAAAAATCTGAATTCAGGACCAAACTTCTATATTATTAGTTGGGCTAAATAATAAACCTGTTTATGTTTTTATCTTTTTTTTTACCTTCTCTTGTGAATCACGATTCATTATCTACCGGTTATTGTAATTGAATCGCATGTGATTTTAGTTGCATGTTTATCTAAACTAATGAACTTAAATTTTTCAGTGTAGTTAACTAAAAATAAGGTACGTTTAGAAGAACACATTTTTAATGTTATCTAGGAAGATCCAACAACAAGTACTCAAGTGATTGCATAACAGGTGGAAGCAAGTCAAAGAAAAGTATGGGCAACATTGCGGGAAAATCAATTGTATTTCTTTTACGTCCAACTTGTTCAAGCACTACAGCTTGAAGATTTACCCCGCCGATTTGAGTTTTGTGAATTCTTCTTACAATGGTATGAATGTTATCAACATATTTCGATAAAAGTTCTACACATTATTTAAGTTAGACTGGACTGCATTAGATATATGTTGGAATAAATTAATGTAGAATTCTTATTTTTGAGTTTTTTTATAGAAGTTTATTTTAATAACTTTTACACGCAGGTATCGAGTTAATGATATTGTTCTAAACAGGATAATCTAATAGCATAATTTGACTATTTTGAATATTTTGGTGTTCTTAAAGAAAACAAATTTTCTATAAATTGTTCACTAAATATTTATTTGCCAAAAAAAACTTATGGATTGAATTTTTACAGCGCAAAGGACACAGAAACTACTGGGTGCATCTTGGTATGGCCTGATGAAAAGCTGTATGGTTCTGAATACGATTTATGGTAAGAAAACATTTAAATAATAAATATTTACTCCTAGCTCATAGCTCATAGCGACATTTTTGTCTAACAAATACGAAAAAATTAAATTACATTATATTATGCTACCAACTGAATTAGGTTGACATATTGCTTTTTATAAAAGAATTTCCCATATTGTGTTTTATATTTTGACATAATAGATGACCTCCTATCTACAAAAACAGATACTGTGAAATTTGAATTTCGTTGATCAGTGCCAAATGTACAGGATGTCGCAAATTGGTATGTTACAGTGTATCTCGAAAATTGAAAGAGATTGATAAAAGTTGTTAAGATCGGCAACGTTGCAGGAAACAGTAGACAAAACATTAATTTGAATCTTCCTACAAATGTATTAAAAATTTAAAGAATAGAGTGAAAATGATAATCAAAAGTGGACAGTTATTTCTGACACTATACGGTGAGTAAAAAAATTGTAAATTGCTAACAAAACAAAAAATATGTCCAAAAATCCTACTTTAATCAAACTTAAATTGACTTTTGATCACACATTTTTTGACAAAATTGTAGGAATTCAGCAACCTACTAAAACACCGTTGCCATATCTAATATCTATTATAAAATGGAAAAACTTAAAGAAGAAATTATTAGAGATTTAAAAACACTATATCTGCAAGCTAGAGTAGAATTTTTTTAAAAATGGAATTTAGAAATGATAAAATCGCAAAACTGGAAAAAGAAAATATTAAGTTAAACGAAAAAGTTTAATTTTTAAGAAGAGCTTCGAAGAAGAATAATTGGTGGCTTTTAGTCTTGTTTCCAAACGTCCTGTATCTCGCAAATGAAGGGAGTTATTGAAGATTTTATTGGACAATCATTACTTTAACAAAAAAGAAGTCATGAGATCTTACCAACTTTTTTCTATCTCCTCTAGTTTTTGGATGCAAAACATATTAATTTGGGACACCCTGTACGAATATCTGATGGACTCGGTACATGTCATGAAAGACGGATATCGCCATAAGTGTTTATAGAGAGATTCTCTAAGCTCTCGAGGGTAATGTAATTCCGAATTAGATTAAACCTGTCGGATTAAATCCGTATATAATTAATCTACCTCCATTTCCGAAAGCTCAGTGAATCCCTGAACAGACATTTATCGACATAAGACTAGATATTTGAACTTTCATTATTTGATGTATTAATAATTTTGAAGATTTCACGGATTTTTATTTTTGATTTTTGATTGGTTTTGGTATTTATTTTATTTCTTACACCTTGATACACTTACGTAACGGTATGTCCTTGTCATACGATATGACGATAAATACAAGTAACGAGATGTTTTCGTTAATAAAAAAAAATTAGCAATATAAGTCTTTGTTAAAGTTTTTATGAAGTGAAAATAGGAAATTCATTATAAAAGTATAAATATTGCACAAATTATATGAACATTAAATTTATTTATAGCAATTAAAACTAGAATAATACTTACATAATAATTCTTACATAAATATATATAACAAAGATCGTCTAATAATAACCCATTATTTGAATTACCAAAGATTCAAGTAAAACCAATGTACAGTAAAAATACATACAGTGTATGCAAAAAGTACCCCAACAAACAATAATTACCACCGGCATATCGATGTGGATTTGGCATTAACATTAAAATAATTAAATACTTCGAAAATAGATATTGGATACCACCAAATTTAAAGCACTCTATCAATTATAAAATCTTAATACCAAAAACATAGAAAAATCATTACTAATAAAATTTTAAGAAATTAAAGTATAGTTTGCTTTAGATATGTTAAGAAACAAATTCTAATTAACTAGATGTGGCCCTTAAGATCCAAAAATATCTTCTGCTTTATATTCAAAAAATTATATTATTCACGCCATCTAGATTCTGTATAACATAACATATTATATGTCGATGGCTTTTGTAAATCAAAAAAGGAATTAATTAAAAAAATATGACTAGAAAATTCAATGTTGAACACTTGCATTTATTTTATAAAATGACCATGTCACAAATGGTTATCGATGACAAATTGTGACACTGATTAGACTCGACAAATGACTTTGATCCTCGGTATCTAAACCACATAGAAACCCTCGACTTGTCGACATATTTACTTTAAAACTAAAGATATTTAGACATTTTCTTTTCGTTACCACCCGTACAACTAACATACCAAATAAATAAAACAAATCGCACTTCAAAATAATATTTTTATATTTTTCCTGAAAGCTTGGTTTGAAATAAAAGCTAATTATTAACTGACCTAATCGGCTAGGGACAATGCAGATCAAAAGTGGGCTCTGCCCTAAACACAGTGCCCTAACCACAGTTCTGTGCAGTAAGAAGTTCAAGGTAATTTCATAGATGGCGCTATAAAATTTTTGTTATTTGTACCAGGTCTTCCACAATACCTGAAACCCACGTGATCTGATAACCATCAAAAACCCATCGAAAGGGCATGATTTGAAGTAAAAGGAACTAAACTAAACTTAATTCTATCTAGTGATCATGGCACAGGGAAAATACAACACTATAGTAAGAGATCGAATGCAAGAGGCTCTAAATATAGTAACAAAATGGACAGAGGCGGAAGGACTAAACATTAGCCCAAACAAATCTAACATAATTGCATTCACCCGCAGGAGGAAATTGGAGGGACTAGGGCCTCTAAACCTAAGAGGTGCAAGCATCCAGCTTAAGGGGGAGGTAAAATATCTCGGGGTTATGATTGACTCGAGACTTACCTGGAACCAGCATCTAGAAAGAACTACAAGGAGAGCGGAAACCTCATTAATGATGGCAAGGCGATCCTTTGGAAAAAAAATGGGGGTTAAAACCAGACATGGTATACTGGCTTTATAACATGGTGGTGAGACCCATAATAACATACGCAGCTTTGGTGTGGTGGCCAAAGACACAGCAAAGGAAAGCAATAACGAGGCTAAGCAAGGTACAAAGACTTGCCTGCCTCGGAATTACGGGGGCAATGAAAACAACCCCCACTGCTGCAATGGAAGCACTAATAGGACTCCCACCTCTTCACTATGTGATACAAGGGGAGGCAAGATTAGGTGTTTACAGATTAGGGAATACACTGGGAAATCTTGACATTAGGCCAGGTCACATGAGTATCTCAAGGTTAGTGACAGGAGACGTGCTAGACATGAGATCAGACCACATAACCAAGAGGTACTCTTTTAATACTCCCTTTGAGGTTTTAATACAGGAAAAAGCGGAGATCACCATAAGGGAGCCCAATGCCCAACGACAGGAACAAACCTGGTATACAGACGGGTCTAAGACTGCGGAAGGCACTGGGGCAGGAGTATTCTCCAAAAACCCTGATACTAACTATAGCTATGCTATAGGAATACATTACTCGGTATTTCAGGCTGAGGTATACGCAATTTTGCAATGTGCAGAAACGAACAATGAAAGAGCTGTCGAAAATCAGCATATTCAAATAATGTCAGACAGCCAAGCGGCACTTAAGGCCATATTGAGTCAGAAAGTTACGTCGAGGCTGGTATGGGAATGCATCGAAGAACTAAGAACACTGGCAGACCGAAATAGAGTAAAACTATTTTGGGTGCCAGGTCACAAAGGGATCGAAGGCAACGAAAAGGCTGACGAACTTGCAAAAAGAGGGTCAGAAGAAACACCGGAACCAGACGCAAACCCAGGAGTACCAAAAAGTACAGTCCGGGGTTTTATAAATGACTGGATTCGGGAACAACATATCAACTATTGGGGAAGCACCCCAAAACAGGCACATGGAAAAGCATTCATAGGCAGACCATGTACCAAAAAAACTGGAGAACTACTCTTAATGAATAGGAACCAGTTGAAAGTGATAACAGGGTTCATGACTGGACACGCCCCAGTAAAGGGACACTTGAACAAAATTGACATGTACAATGAGGAACTCATGTGCCGACTGTCACAAGAAACCAGAAACAGCCAAACACATACTGTGCGAATGCGAAGCTCTAGATCGCAAAAGACAGGCTCTTTTTGGACAACCCCAGGTTGATCCAACAACGTATAGAACCCACTCACCCAAGGATCTGTACAAACTTGTACAAGGTACAAAGGTGATAGAGTGGGTGCTATTAACTAACGGGGTAAAACACAATAAGCCAATAGGCTTCAGTGTTATTCGGAGACACATAGTCAGACGAGCCCAGGAAAAAAAAAACTTAATTATTTTTTGTTGGTAAATACAAATTTATTTACTGTAACTCGTATAAGTTAATGACTGTATATAATTTATTTCAGGTAATATTATACTAGAACAAAATTATTTTATATTCGAAAATTTGAGGAACGTTTTTCAGGTGAATAAATGGAATGTGATTCTTTTTTGTCGTCATAAACAAATACTTGTTAAAAATTATAAAAAAGGAAAGGCTCTAAAAGGCCCACAATAATAACAAAAGCAGTTGAAGATGTGCAAATTAACATGGTGCAAATTCTCAATAAATTATTCAAAAAAACAGCACCTTAAACAGGAATGAAGAGTGTTTCAAAGACTGACTCTGGCGAGTGAAATTCAAAACTTATTTTTTTAGGTTTGTCGCTACGAACTAGCCATAAAGTATTGAAAATATTTCTGATAATGCATCCCCTATAAAGTTTCAGTACTACAACAATCATTTTACCTTAATTTTGTTAAAGCTACCTATGGAATATTACAGATTGCTTAATTCAAAATCGTTTGTGTGACGTTTATAAACTGGAGCACCTATATTAAATGAAATACAAAATATAACTGAGGAGAAACTGCATAATGTGTTCAAAAAAGCACGATTAATGCTTGCATTAAAGCTGGTGGTAAAGATCTTGAACAGATAGGTACTGTGAATTAGTATCGTTTGTGCACCACCGATTACTACTCAATATCCTTTTAAATAAAATAGTTGTTAATAGGTACCTATGCCTTTACAATTTAAAGTGAGAGCTGTAAGGTAAAACAAATATGTGCTTC